TGCAGAAAATGATGATAGAATTTAAATAATAATTATGCCTCTGTACCTATTGATTGCTCTACTACATTACTATGATGTAAATTTTCTTAATAAATATAAACAAGACTTCTCAGCTAGTATTGATTGAATAGTTACTGTCATCACAATTAAAAAATCTAAATTATGGATAATTATTTGCCTATTGCATTCTTTAATTTTTATGATTCAGTACAATATCACAAATTAAAAATATTAATGTATATACTTGTTAGGAATTGTAATTGGACTCGCCACGCTTGTGTAGGCTGGAACTAAGCAGTTTGGTTATCATTCTTTCATTAAAATTTGTCATTTTAAAGGAAACAATACTCCTTCATAAAATTCTGCAAAAGTAGGGTTTTGAAATTTTTGTATTATTTTTATGAATAAATTATTTTTTTATTAATTAAAGTTTATTATTAATTGAACTATTAATTATTATTATCATTGAACTCAACCCCCTTGTTTCTTCTATTTTTTGACAACCCTACTTTTTCTTATTTAATAGAAATTTTTTTTATTTACTTGTTTTCGTACTTTTTATTAAATTTTATTAATTTAATAATGTTTTTTATTGATAATTATAATTTTGTCTTCAGGTATCAGTTCATAACTGGAAGAAAAGAATTTTGAAATAAGAAACATACATGTAAGAAGACCTACTGCATTATAAAAAGCAGTTTTTATGCAATCATTATTTTTTTGAATTTTTGAATCATTAATTATATTCATAGCCTAGCTCATAATTACCGATATTAATCATTATTTTACTATGCAATGCATTAATAAAAATAATCTATTTCCTGTTCTGAAACTACTTAAGTTTACATTCAGTTTCCATTTTAATTAGTACCAGTGGGGGGTGAGAGCAGCTGGTAGTAATGTCAGTCTATATGGATTTACTAATATAACAATGGCAGATACCAACTTTACCATTATATCAGGTAATGGTAACTTTTTTAGTATTAGTATTATTTCTTATGTAGCTCTCTTTGTTTCTGATGAATTGATCGTTTCTGTAAACGACAGTACTTCTTATAGTCTTCATTTTAACGTAAGTACATGTAAAAATAAATTCAAATATTTCCTCTAATATTGATATTACTAGGTATCTTTACCATGTGACTATAACGACTTGTTTAATAAGGGGATCCT